CACACTAATGCTCCAGTAATACAGTCCTTAATACCAACCTTCTCTACTGATCGTAACAACACTAGGACACAAGTAATGCAGTCCTAAATACTTACCTTCTCTACTGGTCGTTACAACACTAACACTCCAGTAATACAGTCCTAAACACTCATCTTCTTCACTGATCGTAACAACACTTACGCTCCAGTAATACAGTCATAAAAACCATCCTTCTTCACAGATCGTAACAACTCTAACACTCCAGTAATACATTCCTAAATAGTCACAGTCTTCACCGATCGTAATAACTCTAACACTCCAGTAATAGAGTCCTAAACACCTGTCTTCTTCCGTGATCGTAACAACACTAGAACTAAAGTAATACAATCACAAATAGCAACCTTCTCTACTGATCATAACAACACTAACACTCCAGTAATACAGTCCTAAATACTCACATTCTTCACCGATCGTAATAACTCTAACACTCCAGTAATACAGTCCTAAACACCTGTCTTCTTCAGTGATCGTAACAACACTAGAACTAAAGTAATACAATCACAAATAGCAACCTTCTCTACTGATCGTAACAACACTAACTCTCCAGTAATACAGTCCTAAATACTCACATTCTTCACCGATCGTAATAACTCTAACACTCCAGTAATACAGTCCTAAACACCTGTCTTCTTCCGTGATCGTAACAACACTAGAACTAAAGTAATACAGTCACAAATAGCAACCTTCTCTACTGATCATAACAACACTAACACTCCAGTAATACAGTACTAAATAGTCACATTCTTCACTTATCGTAACAATACTAACACTCCAGTAATACGGTACTAAATAGTCACATTCTTCACTGATCGTCATAACATTAACACTCCAGTAATACAGACCTAACTACTCACCTTCTCTACTGATCGTAACAACACTAACACTCCAGTAAAACAGTCAATAAAACTTACCTTCTTTAATTGTCCTAACAACACTAACACTCCAGTAATACTGTCCTAAATACTAACATTTTTCACTGATCGTGACAACACTAATATTTCAGTAATACAGTCCTTAAAACTTACCATCTTCACTGATCGTATAAACACCAACACTCCAATAATACAGTCCTAAACACTTACCTTCTTCACTAATCGTAAAAACACTTACACTCCAGTAATATAATCCTAAATACTAACCTTCTTCACTGATCATGACAGCACTATTACTCCGGTAATACAGTCCTAAACACTAACCTTCTTCACTGATCGTACAAATACTAACACTCCAGTAATACAGTCCTAAATACTCACATTCGTGACTTATCGTAACAACACAAACACTCCAGTAATACGGTACTAAATAGTCACATTCTTCACTTATCGTAATAACACTAACTATCCAGTAATACAGTCCTTAATACATTCCTTCTTCACTGATAATAAAAACACCAACACTCCAGTAATACAGTCCTAAACACTAACCTTCTTCACTGATCGTACAAACACTAACACTCCAGTAATACAGTCCTAAGTACCAACATTCTTCACTGACCGTAACAGCACTAACACTCCGGTAATACAGTCCTAAACACTAACCTTCTTCACTGATCGTACAAACACTAACACTCCAGTAATACAGTCCTAAGTACCAACATTCTTCACTGACCGTAACAACACTAACACTCCAGTAATACAGTCCTAAATACTCACATTCTTGACTTATCGTAACAACATTAACACTCAAGTAATACGTTACTAAATAGTCACATTCTTCACTTATCGTAATAACACTAACTATCCAGTAATACAGTCCTTAATACATTCCTTCTTCACTGATAATAAAAACACCAACACTCCAGTATTACAGTCCTAAATACTAACCTTCTTCGCTGATCGTGACATCACTAACACTACTGTCATTCAGTCCTAAATACCCATCTTCTTCACTGATCGTACAAACACTAACACTCCGATAATACAGTCCTAAACACTTACCTTCTTCACTGATCGTACAAACACTAACACTCCAGTAATACAGTCCTTAACANACAACACTAACACTCCAGTGATACATTCTTAAACACTTGCCTTCTTCAATGATCGTACAAACACTAACCCTCCAGTAATACGATCCTAAATACTAACCTTCTTCACTGATCGTGACAGCACTAACACTCCATTAATACAGTCCTAAATATTCACATTCTTCACTTATCATAATAACACTAACACTCCAGTAATACAGTCCTAACTACGCACCTTCTCTACTGATCGTAACAGCACTACACTCCAGTGATACATTCCTAATAACTTGCCTTCTTCAATGATCGTACAAACACTAACGCTCCAGTAATACGATCTTAAATACCAACATTCTTCACAGATCGTAACAACACTATCACTCAAGAAATACAGTCCTAAACACTTACCTTCTTCAATGATCGTAAAAACACTAACACTCCAGTAATACAGTCCTACACACTTACCTTCTTCACTGATCGTACAAACACTAACACTCCAGTAATACAGTCCTTTACACCAACCTTCTTCACAGATCGTAACAACACTAACACTCCAGTGATACATTTCTAAACACTTGCCTTCTTCAATGATCGTAAAAACACTAACACTCCAGTAATACGATCCTAAATACTAACCTTCTTCACTGATCATGACAGCACTAACACTCCAGTAATACAGTCCTAAATACTTACCTTCTTCACTTATCGTAATAACACTAACACTCCAGTAATACTGTCCTAAATACTTATCTTCTTCACAGATCGTAACAACACTAACACTCCAGTGATACATTTCTAAACACTTGCCTTCTTCAATGATCGTAAAAACACTAACACTCCAGTAATACAGTCCTATATACTAACCTTCTTCACTGATCGTGACAGCACTAACACTCCAGTAATACAGTCCTAAATACTCGCCTTCTTCACTGATCGTAACAACACTAATACTCCAGTAATACAGTCCTTAATACTAACCTTCTTCACTGATCGTAACAACACTAACACTCCAGTGATACAGTCCTTAATACATTCCTGACTCATTGATCGTAACAACACTAACATTTCAATAATACAATCCTAAATACATTTCTGATTCATTGATCGTATCAACACTAATATTTTAATAATACAGTCCTAAATACTTACCTTCTTCACTGATCGTAACAACACTAACACTCCAATGATACATTCCTTAATACATTCCTGATTCAATGATCTTAACAACACTAACACTCTAGTGATACAGTCCTAAATACATTCCTGATTCTGATTCATTGATCGTTACAAAACTAACACTTCAGTAATACATTCCTTAATAATTCCTGATTCATTGATCGTAACAACACTAACATTTCAATAATACAGTCCTAAATACATACCTTCTTTCCGAAAATAGGGAGATCCTTGAATGGATTTACTGCAATGAGTATGTCGCCACAGTACGTCTAAAAGTAAATATAACGTTCAGATAGAATAACAAGTTTCATTTTAATTCTTTTTTACTTTCTCCAATATTTTACGAAGTGCTATATGAATCAATTGTTCAATCACCTATTATGACCAGTCCTTGCAATATGTACATGTATCTTCATATGGAGTTATATTTTTAGAAATGATTTTTTTGGTTTTTTTTCTGTCTTTTTTGTTTTTGCTTTTTCTTTCTATCTCTCTTTTTTTCTGTCTAAATTTTGACAAAGCATTCAGTGACAGAACAAAACGCACATAACTACATATCACACCTATCTTTGGCTATTTTGTAGAAGCGCTTTATGTATTTCGTTTTATTTTATTTATTTTGCTTTAGTTGTGTTGGGTTCTATGAATATTTTAAACAACAGATGTGCTTAAACCTTACAAAATACAAATCGTGATTTCATTTTTTTAGTTATGACGTAACGCCAGATGTTGACGCACAAAACTCATACTTTTGACGTCATTTCGTTTGTGACACATGGCTGACTTTGTAAAACATATTTTTAGAGCTATCGGAATGAAAATAGACATAATTACTATGTAAAGCACATTTATTTGACATTCATGTCGTCACGATTTGAATATGACAAGTGAAAACGATTTTGACAATGATCGAATTGAACATGAAGATAACGGTTAAGAAATGAAAGAAAAATGAGATAAAACAACTCTACCCGTATTAGTACCGTCTGCTTCCGTAATATCAACCATGAAACTATAAAGCACATATTGATTAAGTACGTAAAATAGCATGCATATAACAAAATAATTCGTAAGTTGTTTGCATTTGATAAAAATGTATTGAAGCCCTAGAATGAAAGCGTGCTCAAAATATACTACATTGTATTATGACGTGATATCATTTGCCATCTAGTCATACATAGGCATTGGTGCTGTTACTCTCAGAGTTATCACACTGTTCACGCATTCAAATAAATCAATTTGAAAAATTACAAACAAGATTAAATTTCGCTAATCGCATTTTCCACACAGGCTAATATGTCTAAATGAACCTCCTCCTTCAACTGTAATTTGTAACTGTGCAACCTGTCAAAATGTATACAGCTGAAACAGCATACACAATAGCTACTTTGCCCTCATGACATCCCAGTGGCTAGGCTCACTTACGCTCTCTGTGCCCCTGGATAAAATCGATGGCTCAGAGTGCGTCGCCTTGTAGATGAGACGAGATGACTAGTTTGATACTTTGATGTACATCAAAAGAATCGCTCGGTCACGTAACGGTAGAATTGATTGGCATTAAAGTCGGGTGTTGCTCCTCTGTACGTCATGTTGTACATTTAAGAATTAAGCGTTTATTTTGTTTTGTTTATGAGATAATAAATCCAATGGAGCACAAGGTACGCGTTTACGAACAATTTACCGACTGCTCCATTGGATGTATTATCTCATAAAGTAAACAAAATAAAAGGTTAATCCTTATATTTACAATAATTTCTTTGAATGATAACACCATTAAAAGAGGCGGATACAAGCATTTACCTTGTGTAACCTGCGTTCAAAATTATTTTGACGTCATGTTAATCCATGCGAAACAGCCATTCGCAAAAGCCGTTGACAGACAGCTAAACCCCGCCAACTTTATCCGTGACAACAAATGAAAAAAGTTCCTCCATTTCAATATTCTTATTCACATAAACTATCCATATTTAACTTCATACAATATCTTCATAATTTTACTAGCAGGTAATGGAATAAATAATTTTATATTTGTATGAAATTGAGGTACTGGGGCAAAATACTTAGTAGAAAATATTAATGACCGTGGACGTCCATTTTTCAAAGGCGGGAAATAGAGAGTACTAACATGTCGTCGAGCGATAGTGACTAGCCTAGGCCTGGTGGAAGTTGAATGTGCAGTTATTGAAATTGCTGTTTGCAAGCAAACCAGGGGTTTGTACAGATGACATGTACACTGTATGATGTTTATAAATCATTTGTCGACCGAGTGACTGTTGATGTACATTTGGGAGACCAGAAATTTGACCTATATTTCTGGGAACGATAGCCATGTATCTGAGAAATACAATTAACTTGCAATTTGTAATCTTCGAAGGCCCAGGTATCGGCCTAGCGATTTGTCAGGTTTTTTTTATACGTGAGACCAAATTGCTGCCTTCAATTTTGCTTTGACATATTCCAGGGGTGCAGAGACCGTAAATGATTTCGATGTGATCACCAGGTCAAAATATAGGCCTTCTACCACCTCCAACCCACTCTGGAAAGAGTTTCCCTGTCATCTTCGGTGAACACAGCTATGATGTCTCCTGCCGTAAAGAAGTTTTTTATGCTAGTGTCTTATTTTGTTTACGACAGAAGATTATCAATAGGAGGTAGGATTGATATTATGTGACAGGGGTGTTTTGATTGGTCCATGTGGCTGGCAGGTGACAATAGCTGTGCAGGATTGATCTATGTTGCAGGAGTATGACAAAAGACGGTGTATCATTGTGACAGGGGGGGGGGGGGGGGGGGGAAANTGGGTTAATGTCATTGTGACAGGAGAGTGGCAATAGTCGAAGGAATTGATAGTGTAACATGAGGTTGACAGTAATTGGTTGGGTTGATATTATTGTGACAGGAGGGTTACAGTAGCCGATGGGGTTGATACTATTGTGAAAGAGTGGTGACAATAGTCGGTTTTATTATACCTCTACTGAGTTTTCCCTACATAAAAACAATACGATAAAATCTGCTATTTCCCTTAATCACTTAAATCACTCCATCTCACAGCTACTCCCTCCCCAAATTAGAACTACTCCCTGCAAAAAAGGCATACTCCCTGCCAAAGAGAGGACTACTCACTCATGAATATTTGTAGGCGGAGCTTATAAGATTTCAACCAATGAAAACATTGGTAGGCGGGGCCTTCTTCCTGACGCTCGTGACGTCACATTTTCAGAACCAAATGCCAACAGTGAAAATGGCCACCGATGAAGGCCGTTTTGTTGATGTAAAGAGGAGTTACAGCAGATTTTGGACGCTAAACGTATGTTAAATACAAAGGCTGTTATAATGACTGCAGTGAATTCACTTCAAACTTATTTAACAGAACGGAATGCCGGAAGCGTCGACGAGAAGGGTCAAGCACGCTCAGAGGAGGTGAACGTGTGTTCAGTTAGGACAAACAAGATTTATGCAGAACTTAAAAAAGTGGATGGGACTAGATCTAGATATGATAGCTAGGAAAACAATGGTGACTATGAGATACAGTCTATAAAAAACACTTCTTGATTGCTAGAAATGAAGATATCACGAACGACGATGAATACAGTACTTCCGTTTGTATTTTTTCTCTTTGAAATTGTAAAAGGACATGAATAAATAAATTCATTTGTTAAATTGCCTTTAATAATTTGTCTCGTTATAATAAAACAGTTATATAATGGGTAATTCGGGAAATAGCAAATTTCAGTCTATGCGATATATCCAAACTTGTGCTTTTGCTTGTGACACTTCCCGATTATCACTAGATGAAGCAAATTCTGATGCACCTATTACTTTCAATATTTGAAAGTAATTTACAGGTTCACATCATAAAACATTGCCGCATGATTATAAGTATCTTCCAACATTCTTGCTGCGCCCGTGTAGGACCAGCATCCAACATCCAGCATCCGCATCAAAGTATCATGTCACAAAGAAGAAAATGATGTCATTGTGACCTCATACAAGATCCTTTTACTGTAAGATTCCTGCCTTTTTAAATTATGGACAATGTTTCTTTGTGTCGAACGTACTTATTTTCTGTATGTCAAAATTGGAAACAAATTTCTAATCTTGCACACCTTAATAATAATATACAACATTTGATATAGCGCCCTATCTAGCTAACATAAGCCACTCTAAAGCGCTTTACAGTACATAGATTTACAATGTTTTACAGTCAATACAATTAGCATATATATTAACCAATACAATATTGAGGAATTCGCAGGAGCTGCCTTATCAGACGCTTACTACTAGTCCTATGCCACCTAGCTAATATCTCCCTATGTGTGTATGCCTGCGTGTGTGCTGGAGATGTATTGTGTTCTGTTTGTGGTGGAACCGTGCTTTCAACGGTATCATTTATAGTGCCAGCTAACTTGAATGCTACAGCACAGATACCGCAACACCCTCCCCAGACCATTTTATACTCCACCTGGGTTGTTGGAGTTGTGTTGGCAGGAGAAAAACACTTTCTCTAATATTCCATGCGTACGGCGACTTCGGGGATCGAACCCCGGCCGCCTGCTTGGAAGGTTAACCACTCGACCAATCCGCCTTAAGATGCTGTGGAAAACTACTAATACGATTCAACTATTTCTTTAACAATTTTATGTAGTTTTATTAAAATAATGCACGCGGTTTCGTCATATTTGCTTCGAATAATAATAATAAATAATTCGAGATTCTTATATACCGCTTCACAAAGCGGTTCACAAATTATTATCCGTGGTTATAGGGTCTTTGCAACCAGCCAATATCTTTCTCAACTCCCTGAGGAGTATACAACCGGAGCTGAGAGCTGATACATAGAGCTGAGTCTTCGATGTCTTTATAAAATATCCCTCACTGCGTTTTCCTTAAGGATTCAATCTCGCTTTGGTCAATTTCATGGGGTGATGAATTGAGCGGTTGATCTTGAAACAAATTTAATCAACTGCGAAGCAGGTCATTTTGAATTTGTTTCAAGACCAACTCAATTCATCACTCCATGAAATCGACCAAAGCAAGATTCAATCCTTATATTTCAATCAACGTGTTTTTTTCAATAATTAGAACTTGTGAAGTCCATTCTGACCGTTTGTCTCTGGTTCTGGAGCTTGTGCAAGTCTACATATTGAAGTAATGTAAAAACAATAAAGTCCGTCATTGAAGGACCATCATACAACATGATGGTGTACGTTGATAGTTTAATACAGCCAAAATATGTAGAAACAAAACGAAAAAACATATTTTAAATGTC